GATAGATAGATAGATGGATAGATAGATAGATAGATGGATAGATAGATAGATAGATAGATAGATAGATAGATGGATAGATAGATAGATAGATAGATGGCTGTATGATAGATAAATAGATATAGAGAGAGAGAGATGGCTGTATGATAGATAGATAGATAGATGGAAAGATAGATAGATAGATAGATAGATAGATGGATAGATAGATAGATAGATAGATATATAGATAGATAGATAGATAGATGGATAGATAGATAGATAGATAGATGGATAGATGGCTGTATGATAGATAAATAGATAGAGAGAGACAGAGATGGCTGTATGATAGATATATAGATAGATGGAAAGATAGATAGATAGATAGATAGATAGATAGATAGATAGATAGATGGATAGATAGATAGATGGCTGTATGATAGATAGATAGATAGATTGATAGATGGAAAGATAGATGGATAGATAGATGGCTGTATGATCGATAGATACATAGATAGATAGATGGCTGTATGATAGATAGATAGATAGATAGAGAGATAGAGAGATAGATAGATAGATAAGATAGATAAGAAAGCTAGATAGATAAGATAGATAGATAGATAAGATAGATAGATAGATAAGGTAGATAGATAGATAATTTTTAAAACTTGATCTTCTGGATGGTCTTTATACATGAAATACTGCCAATGTGAGAGTAAAACAGTTCCAAACTTAATATTGGATTATTTATACTAATGAGTGAGCATCGTTCAAAATGTGTTTTTTGTTGAGGAGCTAATTTCATATGTTTATGGACTGTTGGGAACTTTTGTTATTACATTTTATGAGAAAATGTAGTTAAGCTTTCAGTTAAATGTCTTATAGTGGGGTTAATGGCAGACTTTTTGAAATGTGGTGATTAGTGAAGTAGAGTTATTATAAAATTTATAAAATGAAAACACTCAAGACCATTAAAATAGAACCTAAATACAGTAAATACTTAGTTACACATACCTGGGACAAGCAACAACAAGATGAAAGTTAGAAAGACAGATTTCAAATATATTCATATATTTTAATGATCCCTGACATAGAATTGCATGAATGACATACATATATTTATAAAAAACTATATTGCATTTTGAGTATTCTGTCAGAGAAGGTGTGTAAGGAGAGTAGAGGACAGCATTAAAGTACCTAATTCATTTCATCTAATGTTCAAGTGCATCTATGCAGTGCTATTTCATGTCAGGTGATCCAGTTATTATCCCTTTACAACAGTTTCAAAACACGTCATGAGTCATTTCAAAGTCATTTCTTTAAAAATAAAAATGTGCATTGTTTTTTGGAAATCTATATTTTCCATATGTGTCCACTCACGAGATGAATGTTTTCATTGAAATATAGTTCTGACAACAGCTACTTTACAAAGATAGACTTTTTCTATTTAAAGAGTCACCAACTCTGGAGTCCTCTGTACATGTGTAATCAAAGGGAATGTAAACAGAGCCCCCTGCTGGTTGTATTTATAACTCCAGTTAAGACAGTGATATCAAAGTTACTCAGGAGAAATGTTAAGTACATTTACAACAAACATTAAAAAATATATGCTGCGTAATTCAATATTTTACAAACTTGATCATTGTTCAGATTTATAGTGTCCATTCTCAGATAAAGTCATGTAGACAGATAATTATATGTTACAGTCTTGTCAGCAGGTGTAAACGTTTTCCCATGATCCCCTATGTCCAAGTCAATCTAGAGAAAAGTTATTTTGCTTTGACTCGAAGAAGATCTCAAAATGTTCACAGTCCATCTGTCAGTAGAGCATGTTGGTCGTCTCACCTGAGACTTTGTTCATTCACCCTGTTTGACCAAACTCATTCTCTTGTTTCTGTGGTTAAAGCCACTTCTCTTAAAAAAGGAAATGAGGAACTGAAACCCAAAGACGGAAACTTGAGCAGTTTCCCGAACAATAGTCAATGATTGCTCGGCACATACAAATTTGAATTCATCATCATATCAGCCACTGTATCCGGATTTATCCTTATGTGTTTGTATGAACACGCCGGCCTGGTCTGCAGTTTTCCAACTATACGCCCTCTGCTCACGTCATGACATTCTGTGCACTGCTCCTCTGCAGTCTGTGTCCAGACACCGCTAAACCAGAGGTCACCAGGCTCAGGGAAGTGCCCCGCTGAACGTGACGATGGGCAGGCAGAGGAGGGAGCAGAAGGTCGGGTGCAGAGGCTGGATTTGGGCAGAATTCCTGGATTTTCTTAGTCTCCAGTCGGTGAAACTGTCGGGTTTATAGCACACTGATATTTCACACCTTCAGGGAAAGAGAGAGACATGGGAGATAGACAGATAAGAACACTTGTAAAGGCTGTGATTGACGCTGAACTGTTGCATTAAGCTTTGATGGTGGGCGTGCCCAACGCTTGGTGCTGGCGCGATCCTCATAACGTCAATAATCAGAGTGTCATGCCTGGTACACACAACATACCCAGGTTTCATGCAGACAAAACATACTAGAAATCAATACAACACTAAAGAAAAAGTACACAGGAAATACACCAAGCACACCAAGTTCACCAGCTGCCTCAGCCTCTTCTTTCACATTACCGTTATTTGATTGGCTAATGTTTGTTTGACTATGATTTGATTGGCTGTCAATGAGCAACATTTCGGTTGAAGCCACAAGTCCTGTGTAAATAAATATAATGTATAATATGATATTTTCCATTAGTGTTTCTGTGAGTGTTTAAAACCATAAATGCCAAATTAATTGTTAAAATCGCACCATGAAAGGAATAAGTAAATAAATAAATCAAATAATAAAACAAGAGAGGGCTATGGAGTCCTTTAAACAAATGAGTGTCCTCACCAAAAAACTAGTACAAGGTTGTGTGTGTGTGTGTGTGTGTGTGTGTGTGTGTAACTCCTCACTTGGTGACAGTCTGTACTATTTTCTTCTCATCCTGGTCCAGACACACAGCAAAGGTTGTGTTTCCAGCTCCGCTCACCTGCACCTTATCCACCTTCACCTCTGTCAAACTCAGCTGCTACAAATAGAAAGAACATCGTCATTAGGCTTCTACACTCGTATTTCAATTCACGTCCAACAATCCTCTGCATATCTGCTCAATGTACAATCCCAAAATATACATATAATACAGACTACACTTGATTCCTCAGTTTTACACTTGTAATATATATAGTATATATATAGTATTGCATTACATTTTTATATTGAGCTCTTTGACTCTTTGACTTTCTACTATTTTTTTCTCCTTTTCTTACTTTATAATTTCTGACATTACTCTTAATGTATTGCTGAGCAGACCTGTACTACTTATCCTACACTTTTCATTGTGCTGTTGACCCTGTGTTAACTTACCCATGACAAATAAAACTTGAAACTCTCTTATTTTACATTTATTCTATAAAATTACATACAATTTGATAATAATTCCAACTACTTTTGACAATCATTCAAATATACTCTTCTGAGGTGAGTACTGACTATTGCCCAAATCTGGAGTTTAAGCTACAAACAAAAAACAACAACAACAAGACACAAGTCTTTCCTGTGTTGTGGCTTCTTGTTCCACCTCGATGTCTGTATGAAAAACATATTTCTCAACATACGTGAGATGAGAGATAAGTCTGATACGAGTTTGAGACACTATCCAGGAAGTGTTGAGGTCTTGAAATAGGGAGGGTGTTTCAGAGTTGTTTATAAGCAAGTTGCCTTTTTTTTTTTTTAAACCACAAACCGCCGACACAGAGCTCACGTCGAGCTAACCTGGTTGTAGCCCTTTTTGCTTTTCCCGTTCTGCCTCTTCACAACCTCAGTCATCATGAGCTGCAGGCACTCCATCTTTGAATCTGTTAAATTACACACACAGTTACAGCAAATGTTTCACAGCAGGACAATACTTATTCCAGATAGAATATGGGTATGGGCCACTTCAGGAAATGATGCAACACTTCTAAATAAAATGGAAGTGAGCCTACTGTTGAATGGCGAATATGGCCCAAATAACAGAAAAGTGTGACATTGTAGCACTAATCTGGGCCAAGGAGAACTGTACTATAACATATATAATATAATTGAAACTATAACTTTTCAGATCCCATCATAAACAGTAATTATCGAGGTGAGGCATGACTCCAGTGTACATATTCTCACGACTACTTGAAAGAGTTCACTGACAGCGAAGCAGCAGCAGCAGCAGCAGCGTACCTAGTTCCTCAGGGTTCTTGCATGCTTTGGTCAAGTTCACTGAAGTACAGACTTTTGATTCTCTTTTCCACTGGCTTCTCCCACTAATAACCACCTGAGGAGGAGAAAGGTAGGGAGGGTGAAGTTATTGTTGCTCTGGAGAAACACAAATATATTGTGAAATGGGGGAAAAAACTTTCTCAATGATAATTGCACCAAGGCTACAGCAGGAGGTTTTAACTGGGAGAAACATTTCACAGAAGAAATCCATCTTATCAAAAAATAAGGGACAGGCCTACAGTTCTATAAATACAGATCTGTAATAACATCAATACACCTTGACAGATGATGGTGATGTTTACAAGTCTGGCCAGTAATAATAATAATACATATATAAAATGATCTAAACAAGATTACAATGTGTTTTACAAAATAATCATAATTAAAACAACGTAAGTAAGTTGTTCCAGAGACTCGAGGCCCTGATAGAAAAAGCCTTCTCACCTTTAGTTACCATCTTTGACACAATTTAAATTTGAATTAATAGCCCATCATCTTACCCTGCTGTACACCACCTCCAACATTAGAGGCACTGCCTCTCGGTCACCGTCAATACCAAACCGCTTACTGGCAGCTCCTATACACAGAGAGAAAACATACACACATTAGTAATTCATGTGGGAGTCATGGTTCTCTAAGACATTTTGGATTAGAGCAATAAAAATTATTTAACATTTAACTCAAATAAATTAAGATTCATGAATATTCCAGGGAAAACACCTTATCTCACAATGTTGTGAAAAAGAATTCCTGGATCCCCCTGATCCCGATCTGCTCCAAAACTTGATTCTTGGTTCTTTCTTGACCCACACCACACCCCTCCACCAAGTTTCAAGGAAGTTTGTTCTGTTGCTTTTGTGTGATCTTGCTTACAAACTAACAAACTAACTAACAGTCAGGCATGAAAACACATCTTCCCTGGTGGAGGTACATTTTAAAAACTAGTGAGTAGTTTAGTGCGTAATGGAACAAAACAACACCAGACAGTTCCACAGTAACTCCCATCAAACAAGGCCTGAATATCTCTCCCTACATTTTTACTTCTCGAAGGAAATGAAAAATCAGAAGTGTGAGCAGCGGTGATGAGCGAAACTAGAAAAGTAGAAGTATGAATCATGATATAGAAATAACAGATGTTCTTCCTGCCATAAATTCTATCCAGTCTCGACCTCATAATAACTGATGATGCGTTCCACTGCACGGAAAAACGTGGAGGATTCTTTTACTGTGGCATCGTTGCTAGGATATGTGTGTGTGTGTGTGTGCATATGTGAGTGTGTGAGTGTGTGTGTGTGAGTGTGTGTCACACTCACCCATGGCTTTGATGGCTCGTGTTCCTGCAGTGTGACCCAACTCTAGGGAGTGGACAAACACCTCAGTCCTCCTCTCACCGCCGGCTAACGTCAACTGCAACATCAAAGATCCTCTATAGATTATGGAATATTACTGAATATAACAGTTTTATTACTCAGAGGTGTGTGTGTGTGTGTGTGTGTGTGTGTGTGTGTGTGTGTGTGTGTGTGTGTTTCTTGTATAAAAGTGTGTCTAACCTCAGCCTGATAGAGTTGGATCAGCGCTGGCCGGGTAGCGTAGCGGCAGTAGTACAGGACCAGGTCGGCCAGGATGGGTAGACGCTGCTCATACGAACCATCATAGGACTCTGACTCTGTCTTTGAGGTTTGCTGCAGAACCCAACAGCAAAATAAAAAAAGCTACACTTAATACAATTACACAGCAGGATATAACAAACAAAGTGTTGTAAAGTGACATTATGGAAAGGTCTGACTGATGCAACTGAGTATTAGGGACATGTTGAAAATACATTTGAGAGTAATTTTGTAATAGAATGAGACAAAGTAGCAATTTAATGAGGAAAAAAGTGATGATAATTAGAAGAATTAAGAGAACTCAATTAATAAGTTTGTTCAGAACAACCAGCAAGGAAAACCCGTGCTCATCAGAGTTCCACTCCTGGATCCAAAATCTCAGAACAATCAAATTGTTATACTTCAGAAACTAAGAAAAGGAAGTAAACACAATCTTTTCAAAGTCCTGACACATGATATTGTTTGTTAATTGTAAAACCTTAAAAAGAAATTTAACAAGATGCTCAACATTCCTCATTTGCAGGTGACAGACTGATCATCTGATATCTCCCCTGTAAAGTGACATTTAGGCTAAAATTCACTTTATTTTCTGTAATGTTACAACTTTATTCACTAAACTGCAGATTTATTTTCCTTAATGTGGCCCTAATGCTGTTTTAGAATGATAACTCAGGTGAAACAGTATAGAAATCAGATTCCAGTTGTACCTGGCAGACAACGTTGGTAGGCAGGTTGAGCAGGCTGAGGGTGTTTCTTTCGTACCAAGGGTCCAACATACCAAGGAGATGGGCAATGTCATTAGTACTGTCCCCAGTGCTCGAGTGGTGAAGACCCTGCTTGAAACAAAAAGCAGAAATTATAGGTGCAGGTCTAAATTTCTCTTTCTTTACTCACAGAAAAGTACAACCTAGCTCAAGAAATTATTTTATAAACAAATCTTTGTGTTCGGTGTTTGAGCTTAAGTTGGGGTTTTATTCTTCTTACATTAGACAGGGCTTTTGGCATTCGAGTTTGAGGCAAAGGACTAGGTAACCTCAGGTGACCTCCAGTCGAGTCCCGTTTCACAGGCACGAAGTAGAACTCAAGCTTGAAGACCCTGGTGAGATGTGGACATGCGCTCTCCTTCCGCCTCAGGCTATCATAGGCCCGGGCCACCTTCCCTGCCACGTGATCGGCACCAAACACAACAACCCTCAGCGTGATATTCTTACTGTCCTCATCACTGCTAAGAATTGGCCTCCGTCTGAAGCACACGTGTCTGAGAGTTTGACTTTGTGGCTGGAGCAGCGGCTCAAAACTGCGTAACTTGACTTGCTGCGGCAGAGAGTTGGAGCGTTTTTCTCGCACCACCAGAAGCTCTTTAGATTCTGTGTTTCCCAAGCTTTTCGCACGGTGCAGTGAGCGAGGGCTCTTGGAGAAGAACCGGTACAGGTGCTGGCTGAGCCGAGGCAATGTTTTTGACCTTGGCGAACATTTTTCCGTGACAGGGGACGAGCAGATATAGTCATCGTAATCATCGACGTAGTCACTGTCAGCTCCAGAAGTGATGGAGAAGAGCGACTGAGCGTAGGACTCCGAGGTCACAGACAAGGTGGAGAACATGGAGTCTTTGGAGGCGGTGGACAGGGACGAGATGGTGGAGAAGGTGGAAGCACGGTGGTTGCCACTGTACCCATTAGGGATAATAGTCATAGAAGGCAATTCTTCATCCTCCTCCACCTCGTCTTCTGCATCCAACTCTGTTCCATCCTCCTCATCGTCACCATCAATGTCTACCTCCTCTCCTTCCTCCTCTCCTTCCTCAGCCTCCCTGTTAGTGCTGAGATTGTCAGGGCCGTGCTCCAACAGGGTGTTCAGGTCATCTGCAGGAATCAAAACGGAAAGACATCAGTTAAATTCAGCAGAACAAGAGCTGTCTAAAGGGGAGGGAGATTAGTATTCATGCTGCCGAGCTCACTTCCCATCACATGGATCATTTTGTTGTGTAGCAAATTTGCAAAAGACAAATTGAAAGGATTACGCATTGTATTGTAAAATGGTTATTATATTTAAATTAAAGATATATTTCATGGCACTTAAAGGAGAAATGAAAACTGCTCTTCATCATGGATGAATTATGAGACGAAAGGCATCATACTGAATACTTTACCAAAGTTGTCTTTCTCCCAGTGAAACATGTAACACTTGGCTGTGGGCAGTGGTAGCGTCTGTAGCATTCCTGCAAGGTTGGGACAGGAAACAGAGCGAAATAAAAGCACTGTTTACTGGAAACTGAAATATCAAAATGATGCGATCCACTGTGTGTATCATAAAATCCACCCTCTTACCATCACACTTCCTCCCGTTGGATGCTGGGATTCTGATTCTCTCCCTCAGTCCCTCCAGTCCCTGGATCACATGATTGCGTCCCATCAGAGGGTCATTAAATGCAGCTGCCGTCTCCAAGATGTCGCTTACTACAGAAAAGATCTCACCCAATTCATCCACAGGTTTTTCCTGCAAAGATGAGGCATAATATACATTCATGTATTATCACCCCGTTCTGAAATCTGAAATAAATGTCTTATTAGAGTTTAAAGAAATCTTTCTAATAATTTATGTACATTTTTTCATCAAAATTGTATGTATAGTAGAGATACAGTATAAAGCTCCATATTTCCATGGTATTGCTTACATGTTCATGTAAAGCAAAGTCTCTATGCAATTCCAACTTCAAATATAATCTACAATTATTCATTTGAAATGCAGGCAAACAGGGTTTTAAGTGAAATGTAGTTAAAACTGATAGGTCAGATTTCCTTTTAAACTTATGTGTTTATGTGAATAACAATTCAAGACATTAACATCTTGAAATATATTCTCTGAGAACTTTCAGTATGAGCCTCCTCCACTGCACGAGCCAAAGAGTCTAAATGAAGTGGATAACATGACTATTTTCCAACATTCTGCTCCCACTGTCCAGAACTGAAAACTATTCTTCGCATACAATTAGTGCCATCTTGGAGTCTGAGTTAATCATTGAGAACAAATTTGGGAAATCACTTGGACTTTTTAATCCAGCTGGGAGGCAGGGTAACCTATACTTCTGCCAGCCACCAGATGGAGACAGAGACACTTTGGTTTCATTTCTGTGGCGCTGTCATTCCTTTAGAGTCGTTGCTTTGAGTACGTACCTGCAGGGCTCTGTGGATACTTTGTAGAGGGTACTTGGTGCCCAGCGTGGACTGGAAGGCGTGTTTGATCAGTGTGATGTACGTCTCTTTCTGTGAGTGCGTAATGTGACTGAGCTGCTCGGCCACAGAGAGAAAGTCGGCAGGCACTTCCCCCGGGTTCATCAGCAGCACAGTCCTGCAGGCAGCAGACAGATGATGGTGAGGTGTGAATGAGGAGGATGCAAACAGAGTGCTATGATGCTGGTGGGGTATTAATGGGGAAGAAAAGGGACTTTCCAAGTTAAACACCTAAGTGGGTTAGGGACCCGTCCACTTTCAAACCTCTTCTTAAAACCCCCCTCTTCAGAACTGCTTTCAATGTATATAATAATGTAAGGATTTATGTTTTGTTTGTCTTTTAAATTCTATGTGAATATATATTTCAATAATTATTAGTGTGAATATCACCAATACATTGAAATCACAGAAACATCACCTCAGTTGCAGTTGAACTATGAGAAACTGTACACACACAGTACATATATGAAATTCTATCGTTCTTGAGTCAGACTTTACGTATATGTATGTATAACACGACCACGGACAGGTTTCAGTCACTGGGTGGACTTACATGATCTTGGAGCTGTGGCTGGAGGTGTTGAGGCCTTGCTCCTCTCTCACCAGTCTCTGAAAGGAAATCCCTGAGAGGAAAACAAAACAGAAACAATTTGATTGGATGCTTTTAAACCAACTGGAGAGGAATAAATATATATATGGATATATGGATAATAATGTCTTCATATACAGTATATATTTAAAAACACAATAGAAAGATTGAATTTAAATAAAGCAAAAATATATACTCTGTCCTGTCTGAGGGTTTATGATGAATCATAGAGACGTATTTATTTGTTGTGTTCTTTCTGTCGACCCTTCCTGTAAATTTCAGTTTAGGTGTTCACGTGTGGCTTCTGCTTTTCTTTGTTTTGTAAAAGCTGGACTTACATCAGCTCCAAAACCATATGACATTCATCTTCTTCTCTCTGATGCTGCTGTTTGTGGTACAAACAAGCGACAATCTAAATGCATTCCTTTGACCTGCCACTAGGGGGAGGACGATGGTAAGGGTTGGAAAAACGCTTTTGAACGCACCACATGAGCTGAAGAACTTCTGTGTTAGAGACAGTTCACAGTCGGGCAAAAATAGACACATAGAGAAAAAGAAATTCCCTGAACATAAACAATGTCCTCCATCATTACCTGGCGCCTTGAGCTCCAGCTGTAGTGTGGACAGGAGGTTTTTACACACATTGGAGTATGGCTCCGGCCAGGTGAGGAAGCAGCGAAACACCTCGATGGCTTCCTCCAGCAGCTCAGTGTCTGGAGGACAGTGAGGTGTCTGCAGCCAAAGAACAAGACAGACATTTGATCAGGGTTGTGTTGAGACGCAGTGGGACTGGATAGGGAGGACATGTCTTATGACTGAACTGTGTGACCCTTGAAGCCTGCCATTCAGACCATCAACTAATTACCTCCATTGTTGATGACTCTAAAATAGTTTTTGGGGGCAGGGGTTGTTTTCTTGATTAAGTTTACATTCTGTTGTTTAAGAAGCTGAAATAAGCCAATTTTTAACGAATAACTCAAAAAATGTATCTAGTGTCATCAAAAATGAATTAAGATTAAAAAGGACTCTCTATGATACAGAAATGACTCATCTGTGAATAAGTGTGAACTATGACAAAGGGTTTGATTCAGAGGAAGTGACAATATAATTGTGCAAAAACTAGTTTTACGCCCATGATTAAACTGAAGTCATTGCTCCATAAGGAGTGCAACTAAATTTAAATAAATGTTCAATTTGATCCTGTTCTAAGTTTTATTTATTACAATCATACTCAGTATTATTATGGTGAGGCGTGGTTTAACTCCTAGTCTTAATTTAGGGATGACAAAAACGTTTAATGTTTGAATCTAACAACGTGGGACACTTTTCACAACTAAAGTGGTATGTTCCATCTGACATTGTATCACTCCACTGATGTTAAACATCACCCAAATTACATGCAGGTATTGTGCCCCACTTTATATAGTTCCAGATCTAAATCAAGCAGCAGAATCAAATATGTCGACAGCATATGATCTGTATATAATTATCATTAAATAAATTATATAAATTCTCAAAAAGGAAACTGTGGACAATTATGTAATAATCTACTAAATAAATCACCAAAAATAAATCTCATCTTACATTATTACTTAAAAAATAGTTACTTACATTTTAAGGTAAATAAGTACAGAACAGTAATGTAGTTTTTCCATTATCTAGGTTTAATGACAAACAACCAAAGGTATATTTTTTCATTTTAAAATTAAAAAAAACTGTAACATAATCAGTTGCTCTATATCTGACAGATGAGCTCTACAACAACAACAACCAATGTGTGACAACACTTTCTGCTTTGGACTCTGAAGCCGACTCAGAAACACAAGAGGTGTTTATGAGCCAAAGGTTGTTTTGTTGTCGAGCCAGCAAACGGTGTGATTTAGAATGTTGTTTTTGAATCTGGGCTAGAGGCTTTTGACTCAGTTCTACTTTTAAGAAATGTCACAGTGTTTTTTTTTAATGGAGGAACCAGTTCACCTTTGGTATGGAGAGTTCTCTTACACATGTGAAACACTAGGATTGTCACTGAGAGGTGACGAAAGGTTTAACGTTTTCGACAACATCTGGATGAAGACGATTTGTACCTGAAGCAGTGTGGAGGAGAACATGATCGCGAGGGGAGCCACCAGCTCATACTGACACTGCTCCTGAACCTAAATCAATACATAGTAATAAGAGAGACAGACAGATGTCAGAATAACTATGCACGCAGTGGACAATATGCTTCCTTGGACCATGACCTTTGCCCTTTGTTCTCTCACCTCTTTGGTCTTTATGATGATCTGCTGTAAGAGGATGAGGAAATTCTCGGGGTCTCTCTTCACCAACTCCTCCAGGCTCCAGCGGTTCATCGACTGACCCGCTGAGCACATCAGCACTGAAACACATGTAAATACACTCATTCATATCTTACATGTAAAGTAGATAAAGAAAAAATCACCTGTCCTACATTTTAATCTGTCAAACATGAATTTACTTCTAAAATCGTTAAGTTAAAACATAGATTTTGTGGAATTTGAGCAAAGCTGTGGCACACAAATATGTTCCAACATTCTGTCGGTAGCTTCATTTCTCAGCAGCTCTTTGCAGACATGAGTGTTATCATACAATCTATCATACAAAACACATAGTGTGTCGTGTCTATTTAAAGCTCAGAGGTATATTTGCATCCTGAGCTCCAGAGGTTAATTGAGATAAGGTGGCAGCGCAGAAAATGAACCTGGGAGTTTTATGATGAGTCTGATGAGAAGTGAATTTTTGTAAAGAAGAGCATGTTGACATGAATGTAATCACTCTCGTTGAAAACATACAAATCCCTGGAAATCTTCTATTCATGTTAGGGATAAAAAAAAAAATCTGGTTTCTCTTTATGTCGGCATAAAATTTATGATGGTTAGTTATACTGTGTGAAATTACCATGATTACCATGGTGATGTGGTTGATAATATAACAGCAATAGCTTCCAGTGTTATTTTCATGGATGATAATTATATCATTTGAGTAAAAAAAACTACTGAAAACTAAAAATACTGTGGTAATACTGATAACATGATACTTGTGGCCACTGTAATCTTGATACAACATTTTCACCCTTGCACTGGATGTCTATCAGGGCATAAAACACAGCACATGTCTCTGTAAATATATATTTCACTCTATGTGGCTCTGGTTGTTGTGTGGGAGTCGAGTCTATCCACCCTGTTTTCACCCAGCAGCAGTATCTCCTGCCTCACCCACAGCCTGTGGTTCTGTGGCACCACTTCCTCTCACCTGTCAATTCACACAACTTCCTCCAGCAACCAATAACACATTTCCCTGATGAGAGCACGCAGCAGCATCACCAACAACAAACTCAGGCGCTCTTGAACTCACATGCCCCATATTTGCTGGTGGAGCGTCTGTCACACAGCGGTCTTGTGTCGACAAAGGGAGAACAAACAACGGCCTTCTGTTCGAGTTACCACTGCACTCAGCAAATATCACGTCCAAATGTGTTGGCTGTGGTTAATATTTCTGAGAAAGTGTGTTGCGTTTCATTTCGAAGAAAGAGAAGCCTTGATTCCACACAAGATTATGAGCCTTTGAGCAAAGCAAGAGGCGGGGTGCACCCTGGACAGGTTCATCACAGGGCCGACACACAGACACAGACAACCATTAGCTCCCATTCACACCTTGAGACAATTTAGAGTCACAAAGTAACCGAACCTGCTAGACTGTGGGAGGAAACCAGAACACCTAGAGAAATATATGAATGCTTAAGGTTGGTCGTCCAGAAGATTCAAACTCAGAACCTTCTCACTTAAAGGCAAGAGTGTCAACCACTGCACCACCATGACGAATACTGAAGGGTAATGGTTTTCATCTTTAGTGGGCACTACTCTATAACTTGTCTCTCAATCTCTGCCAAGTCTGTTTTTCAGTTCTCTTCATGTCTAACTGTTGATAGAAATAACATAACAAAAATAACATCAGGAAGGTTAAGGCCATCAAATAATGAAGAGATATAATTTTGATGTGGCTTTAGATCAGATACAGGAAATTTTCATCTTTGAGTTAGTCCAATATTTTCAACACAAGTATAATGATGTGCACAGATCTGGATGAAGAGGAACATTTTAAATTGACATCCTTAATTAAGTAATTTTGGGAATTATGCATTTTGACAAAGTTATAGACTGAGGGCTAAAGTTTTTCAAGTACAGAAGAAGTAAATGCTCTGCCATGAGATTAGAAAGTTCCTGTGCTTTAAAAACATGAGCTACAGTCAAACATGTGCTGCAATGATGCTAAAAACACAACTGTCTCCTTTATTTCTCACAAGTTCTCATTTATAAAATGGAGAAATATGCATCACAATCCTGGTGAAGAAACTTAACTAGAAGGAGACCCAGAGAGTATAAACCTACGCCAGGACTGACTGTATCACCATTTTGTATTTACATGTATTATGATCAGATGCATACGGATCATTATCTGGATTAGCACCAAATTTCACCGGTTCATTCATCAGTACTCATAAATGCCTGTTTTTTCATTAAGATATCTGCGTTAGTACATTCACAAAAATTTTGAAAAACACCCTCGCCCCCAAAAAAGAATTACTGGATCTGCCCCCTGATCTGGATCCACAGCATGGGTTTTTCCCTAACTCATACAGAATCAATCCACCAAGTTTAGCACGTCCCCGAGTCTTACCGTTCCAGTGGTGTGCAGCTGTGGGGCTCTGTCTCAGCCCGTCCAGACACCGGTCCAGAGCGTGCTGGATCCTGTCCTCTGTACACGAGGTGTGCTGCATCTTCACCGCTCAGGCTCTGTGGAGAGGCAGCAGAGAGACCTGACGTGAACTATCAACATATGACACTCAATTTCCATCCATGTATTATCTTGAAATTCTTTGGTGTGAATGAATAATGTTTGCACGTACACACACACACACACACACACACACTCTTCTCTTTTCATGCACAGTATCACATCAGCTATCACATCTGCTTTGCATGAAGGCAGATCACCCCGGTAAGTATGAAAATGAGTCTAAGAAGATACTCAAACCATAAAGGCACATGGTGTTGACACGCGAGTAGCTTGCTGCTGTTGTGTTGTTATATAATTCCTGAAATATCACACAGAGCAAAACACACACCTGCTGGTTTTATATTATATATCATCATAAATAAATACATGTTCTTTGTAATGTCTCATGATGACCATGGTTCTCTGTTATAAAAAGAAGTTCTTCATTTGACAAGTGTTGGGCAAGTATGTGGACGCTGCCCTGCCTCAGATCAGCTGGTTTTGTTTGAAGTCCAGCGGCCTGTGATGAATGTAAAACATTACATCCAACAAGAACAAAACACCTTAAGCTTTTGCTCATGTCATTTATCTCCATCAACATGTGAGCACAAACCAAGAAGTAAAGCAGAAGAATGTTCTACAAACATGAGCCTTATTGACATGTATGAAAAAGAAGAAATGCTTATATCCACTATAAACAGGACCAATAATAAGAGGAACATCAACATACTAATACAAACTCACTTAGGGTTTCAAAATGACGTGTAACACACACAGAGTTAAACAAAGTGGCTCAGCACAGAGGAACATCAACAGGTAGTAAACATTAGCAAACTTGACAGCAGCAACATTTAAAGGTTCAGTGTGTAGAATGTAGTGACATCTAGAGGTGAAGTTTCATGTTGCAGCTGAATGCCCCTCACCTCACCCTCCCCTTGCAAACATGAAAGAGAACCTGTGGTGAACTTCAGCTGTCATGAAAACTCAAAAGGTTTTAGTTTGTCCAGTTTGGACAACAGTAAAAAACATGGCGTCCTCCACAGAGAATGTCAATTTAAAGTTTTTAAAATCTATCGTAAAGAAAACAACAATTCATACAATTTAGATGAAACACACCAGTAAAAACATCACTAGGATTATTTTATATTCAATTTCTGCCAAAAACTCCCTTCACCCAAATCTTACACACTCACCTTTAAGCAAACAAAAACATCTATTTTCACAATATGAATTATGTCATAGGGTTAGAAGAGAAAAAAAGCCTTGGGTGATTTCATATTTAAAATCTGTATCAATGTATCAGCCCCCTTAATATGCCAGAGTTTCAAATCCATCACTATTCCCTGGGAAATCATTCCAAAATATGCAATTTTCACAGAAAATGTGTCAAGAAAAATTCTTGGATCTGCCCCTGATCAATATCTGTTCCATCGTTTAATGGGTTCTCCACTACCCATCCTTCCACCAAGTTTCAAGAAAATTGTTTCCTTAGATTTTGCATAATCCTGCTGATGAACAAACATTAATGAAAACACTAGAATGACCCTCAGTAGAGCACATACCTCCATCAATGCCCAACAGTCATCTTGAATTCAAACTGCACCGATTTCACATATTCATGGTTATTGGGTCCATAAACAAAACAGATGTTTTCATTGAAAAAATGCCCTTTCTCTCGATCCTGTATCCTTGGCTAATACCCCACCCTGTCTAAGTTTCTATATAAAAGCTTCAGAAGTTGTTTTTGTAATCCTGACAACAGTCAACCAGATAAGCAACACTGAAAACATCACCTTCTTGACTGTGGTGAAGATGTGAAACTGCTGTAGATAGGACAGATGGTGCAGATAGTCCAGCATTACCACATTAACATAGTAAATACATCACATCTTCACTGAAGACATGAGCATGTGCTAAACTTCACCTTTTTTCTTAAACTTTCTGTTTGTCAGTGCGTTGGGATGTTTTTCATGCAGCAACTCAGGACAACCCAGGTGTGGTAAGTGGTTTCAGTTCTGTTATGAATACAGAAGTCACCACAGTTTATATACAGTATCTATAACAACATACCAGGGACGTCCCATCAGTGACTTCATCTCACAAATGTTGTCCGTGTTAATGTAGGTAAGGCAACCAAAGAAATGTGTTTTTTTCCATTTCTACATTCAAACTAATGCTCTTCTGGCGGCTGAGGATCAAAATGTAGTGTTGTCTTCTAACTTTGTTATTTTCAGTAATTTATCCTAATATTTCATTTGAAAACATACAAGATTTCTGGATTTCTTTTCGAACACATTGTCTATTTCAAAAAAACTTGGATGACTTTGGTTCACTGACTTATCGACTGGCTAATTGGGATACATCAAAATAAAGAAATTTGATGTGAAGATAGTGTGATAGATTTAATTAATTTTGTTTTCATTCATTTATTGAAATCAAATTACGAGGTTGTGACTAATACATTATGTTAATGTTTGATATATAGTTTTGAAGCGTCTCTTTCCAAATTTTGGATTTCTTCTACAGAAATACAGTACATTTATGTAAATACTGGGAAACGTCCGATTTTGCAAGCAGAATGAACACTTCCCTAAAGAAAAGGGGCCAAAGCTTTTTACAGATTTGTTCTTTTAGATCTTTTCTGGGAACATGAAAAGCCACATGCTGAAAAAACAAACCACAATTATTTTAGACCACTTAATTAGCTGTAAGTAGATATGAATATGTTTAGCTTTAGTTATAAATATTACTAATATGAACCACACTGGGAAAACAACTGTAAAACTCTTCAACGACTGTGCCTTTACATCTTGAAATCGAACACAAGTTGCTCTGCAGCATCTGATAGAGAGAGTTAACATTTATCTAAACTAATCTGCCACAGGGTTGTTGTAGTGAAGTCGGAGCAGAGATAGGAGTCAACAGTGACATCAGAACTGTTTTGGTCTGATTACATTTTCTCCAAATTTCCCCAGCGACTTTGAGAAATTCCCCAAGCTGTCAAATGAATAGTGTCAATGAATGACTCACTCACACACCCACTCCCCTCATTACCCTAACGAGATGGTCCAGCACATAGGCCACTTAAAGGTCTTTGCACAGAAGACTTGATTTTTTTTTATCGCGTGTAAAATGTTCACCTTATGAAAATTTTTCAAACTTATATACAATCAATGCTAATTTTTACTAAGCAATATTGAGGCTTTTTTTTTTGGGACCGATACAACATGTACACGTCTAACCAATTTGGTCTGATATTAAGTTTATTTGTCAATTTATTTTAAACAAGCACAGTGTGTTCTAAACCTGCCTGTGTGGAAGGGGTTGTTTGTTTAGCCAGGGGTGATGCTGTTTGCAGTTTTCTTTCTGCAGGACTCAGTCCAGAGAAACCCGAAGATGCAACCCAGCTGCTGCACTAAGAGCTGTTCATCTGTTTATTCAAAGTTCAGTGAAGCTTGACTAAGAACGTAGAAACCCCGAACTGGAAAGCGTTACTTACATTGAATGAGTCCGCATAACAGCCACTGTTATGGAGTACTGGTTTCCCGTTCATTCAAAGCTTATTAGACTGAAAGTATCACGTGCTCAAATCGCATCGAATTCATAACTGCACTTTCGGGTGCTCTAGACACACATGTCAAATGTGAAGTCGAAAAAAATGAATGGTTGAGCCACATACAGACAGACAGAGATTTCTGGAATCATTTGATAGATATTTGTCTTTAGCTATTGCTCATAGTTATTTGTGTCTTTAGAATAACATGATGTAATCGACTTGAACCTAGGATAATGCAACAGGCAGCCTAACTCCTGTCCAAGAAAGTTATTAAACCAAATGCGCAGAATTGGGACTGTTAACAAACAGGACAAATTAAATACTCGATGAACTCTATAAATACGTCCTGAAGCAGCTGTGGTACAGTTAAACTCATAGACCAGTGAAACTCACCAACTTCTCCTCTCTTCATCAATAGTGAGTGTTCCCAGGTATTTCTTCTTTTGTTCCCTCTTATTCTGCAGTTTGAATATTATCCCTATAATTTATTCACTTAATGGCATCACGCTTAATGTCATTGGTCAGAGGTGTTGAGATTCTGTGGTGAATTTTGGTGAATTATTCGCTACTTCATGCCATTTATTCATGCTGCGGTGGATATGGAAAGACCTTAAAGTCACCTGTTTCTTTTAACGAATGAAACAAACAGGATATAAAGTGCAGCTTGAGATGTGTTTGTACTGTTAGTTACAACACACAAGCTCCAAGGAATTGTAGACTGCATGTGTTACACAGACAACTACCTATATATTCTAAAGAGATATATATGAGATATACAGTAGAAACACACACACTGTACAAACGACCTCATCATTGAGACCATTTGGAGAAGTGGGGCAGGAAACTACAGGTTCAAGCGGCCAAATTATCCCCCAGCACTTTACTCTTTTTCCTTCAGTTACCTCTCAACAACAATACCACCGACTCCACAAGTAAACAGAACATCCATGCAGCTGATTTTCTCATCGGCCCCTCCTCCCCAGAGAGGTATTGTGTCTGAAGAGGGGTCCCGGGTAGGCACTGATGTGGTGTATGGAGGGGTATGGACGTGAGCATATCGGACACTTGTGCTGAGGGCTCCGGTCATTGTCAAGCGTGGACAGAGCTGGACGAGAGCCCGGTGAGAGTGGAAGGAACTAATAAGTCAGAGCCATGGTGACGGGGTTCAATGGGTACATGCAAAAGTAATAAAGAGGGGATGACCTTATATGAGGCAGCACGATGCAGTGAACGATGCAGTGAAAGTTTATTACTGCCAACAGTAATAGTCCTGTTGATGCTATCGGGTTATTTGTTTAGCATACAGTATATAACCCCTGTATAGGAGCATTCTTAAGAACAAACACCACGCCTCAACAATATGTCATTTAAAGGGTTTAATGAAAAAGTTGGATGTAGAGGAAAGCTGACTAGATGTTGAGGGAAGGGGTTGAGGTGAGCATGTTGTCTCATAGCCCTCACCAA